GGGTTGTCGGCGTGACGAGCAAGCCCTTCAACCACCAAGCTAAAGGAAAGAAAAGGAGGAGACAACAGTTCCTTTTTACTCTACGCTACGATCGAGCCCAGGAATTCCAGCCAAGTTCGGCAAGGGTGGAAACTGGACTTTTAAAGTCAGTTAACTCTCTTGCCTCGGGAAGATGAAGAGATCTATGCATATAATATGTTGTTATGGATATTTTTAGGTACAGGGTATGTAAATATACATGATAGCAAATAATATATATTCTATTTGGCCATGAATAACGAATTCAATTCATGAATGGTTACGGTTCGATTCACCGAATACGCGAGTGAATCGTAACAGCCCTAATATTTACCATCCCCAAACACACAAGCGTGATAATCTCTTTATCATATAATGTCATCCTTTAATTCTGTGCTCGAAAATCTCTTCCCATCTCTCGCAAACATTACCTAAACATTGCTGTTTGCATGTTTTCCTGGAATGTGCGTATTAATATATATTACGTCAGAGGGTAAGTGATGTGTCAGTCGGACAGTGGCAGTAGCCAATATAGTTCCAACTGAAACCTGTTTCTTATTCAGTGGCGTAACTACATTATATGCAAAACATAGAGTAACTGCCCTTTATGAAAGAAAAGCTACTCTAACCCCAGTCCATGAGACGTCACGGCCACGGTCAGACGTTGTTGACAGTCGGTCTGTCCTGTCATATCGTCAAGAAGTGTAGTCAGATGTACACACAGCGACAAAACGAAACAAGATCACAATTCGAACATATTTCAGCCAAATCCGACTGTTTTAATTTGTGGAAAAGGTTCCAAGCCGCAGAGGTCTACAAGCACAGATATGGCTAATGATCCCGCTTGGTTAGGGACCTCGCCAGATCGTTTTTAGATCTCCTGAGTTGCAAAAACTTGTAAAATGCATTAAGCACGTAACAGTTAGAAACTGGTGTTCAATATATTAGACTATTCTTTTAATAATGATAGCAATTATCCCAGGAGTCTCTTCAGATTCCCGAGGGTTAATTCTGACTCGATCGCCGAATGATAGGGACGACGCCATGTTTGTTTATTAAAACTGAAAGTAGTCCCTACTTGACCTTTGATATTAGCATCTCTATCAGCATATGACCCAACGGATACCGTTTTTATCCGTTCGGTTTATTCTGCCGAGAAACCTATCCATTATATGACAGAACATTCTTACTGTTTGTTTGTTTTGTTTTCTAACTGTGGTGCTGCACGCCATAACGCCATGAGTCCATGTATTATTATTACATAAGTATGCGAAAGTCTTTCTTAAGATTCCACAACACTTTTTACCATATATTTTAAAGGAGTGTTTGCGTAAGCTCTCGGTGTAAAACCAGTACAAATATAATATTATGCATAACAAGAAACATGATACATGACTCATGTGGATGCACACGGAATTAAACATGGGGCCAACCACGAGACGGTAGAATGTTTCAGTACGGAAATTTGAGAATTTTTTAAAGAGAATAACGTGTAGGAGACATGCTTTGAGGGTAACTACGAAGCGAGGTCATCTGGGTGCGAAAAACACACAATAACACACTGGCCAAGTAGGGTCGTGTTTACCTTGCCAGGTGTACATATACATGCTAATCAGCTGTCCCGAATACACCAGGAACTCACGGTGACGGGCGGCAAGGGAGCTTAGTGGTTAAAGCTGTTCTCGTCATGATGGGTTCAATTCCCAACATGGTAAAATCTGTTATACGATTGGAATATTTTTGAAAGAGGCGTACAACTCATCTCATTCCCTTAAGTGAATGTTTAAATGTTTTATGACCCAATATCGTGACCATATAACGGCGGCCTTTGAATATTCGAGTCTGGACCAGGCAAACAGGTGGTTGATAGCATGAACAGCCGTCACGCCATTGGTGAGGTGAGGTGAAATGAGGGTTAACGTCGGGTCCAAGATTAGTGCACTTATATAGCGACGCCATGTCGCAGTTTAACATGAATACCCCACTCAGACACAGTATACTGACGCCGAGCCGACCAGCCATTTTAAGCCCCTTTATGCCGAGCAGGGTAATAACAAGTACCATCTTTTAACGTCTTTTGGTATGACGCGGCCGGGGATCGAACCCCGGGCCTTCCGCTCTCCGGGCGGACGCTCTACCACTAGACCACGGAGGCGGTCCACACCATTGGTACTATGACACACAATCATAATGACCTGATCCTCAAATTAGTATTTTAATTTGGCCGTGAGGTAGTCTAGTGATGAAAGTGTTCGCTCGTTACGCCCATGGCCCGAGGTCAGGGACAATCAGTGAAGACAATTGGTTGTGCTGCCCGCCGTGATATTCCTGGAATGTTGCTAATATATACTGCGGCGTATAACCCTGCCCACTCACTCAATCACTCACTCACTCACCAGTAAAAAATACTTTTGTAATAAACTAAAAAATGCTGAGTGTAGCATAAGATGCAGTTTAACCGACACGACCCACGTGAATGGGAGGTCAGACACAAAACCAGACACTCAGACCGAAAAAAAGAAGATGAGATATCTCACCCCGAGACACACACTACGCACGTGTACATACATACTTTTTTATGTTTAATTTCATGTTTAGCCAGTTCCCGTGTTATCAACACGTGTGCTTCTTGTTATGTCGTCACGGTGTACGGCGCCATAGGTTGCTCATTACCCCTAGATCTCATCGTGAAGCGTTCACCAGGTCAAGGCCATTTATTAATAATATCACTATGACTGACATCCCTCATGAATTAATGCATGTGACCTATATTTCACATTTCAGTGCCGCTATAGAAATCTACATATATTCTGACTTTCATAAATGCATTTTTCGTAATTATTATGTGCAATGACGTTAGATATTGTTTTTACGTGTAGTGACGTAAGTTACTGTGTTTACGTGGAATAACGTTAGTTACTGTATTTACGGGGAATAACATTAGTTACTGTGTTTACGTGGAATAACGTTAGTTACTGTTTACGTGTAACAACGTTAGTAACTGTTTACGTGGAATAACGTCAGTTACTGTGTTTACATAGAACAACGTTAGTTACTGTGTTTACGTGGAATAACGTTAGTTACTGTGTTTACGTGGAATAACGTCAGTTACTGTGTTTACATGGAACAACGTTAGTTACTGTGTTTACGTGGAATAACGTTAGTTATTATTTACTTGGAATAACGTTAGTTACTGTGTTTACGTGTAACAACGTTACTTACTGTTTACGTGGAATAACATTAGTTACTGTTTACATGGGATAAGGTTAGTTACTGTTTACGTGGAATAACGTTGGTTACTATGTTTACGTGTAACAACGTTAGTTACTCTTTACGTGGAATAACGTGAGTTACTGTGTTTACGTGGAATAACGTTGGTTACTGTGTTTACGTGGAACAACGTTAGTTAATATTTACGGGGAATAACGTCAGGTTACTGTGTTGACGTGTAATGACGTTAGAGCTGCGTAATATACTTAACCAGCTATGGTGCTTCATATAATGTGATCTGAAATTGTTCGAGAGACATCTCAACACGTATAAGTGCTTTGTGACAGACCCTGGCCCACTTATCAGACCATTTTTCTGAGGAAATATTGAATTGGGGATTCCGAGACTTATAGATCCTCAGTACGTCACACAAGTCGTAAGACAAGAATATAATAAGGATCGGTCGGTGCATGCGACCTGGCTGGTTGTGTGCCATCGTACTCTGGCGTACTCGTACATTTCCTGTCACTTACAAAAAATATATAGTTACCGATTTTAATATTTCGGACAGCGAATAATAATGTGCCCATTTAAACCGGCCGATGGCGAGGGTTACTGAGACAAGATCGTGTCTGTGCACCATGCAATTCATCTTCTGTTGGAGACGAGTTTCACCATCTTTTGAGGAGTGAAGCCCTTCTCAAACAACGACTTCTTAATATCCCAAAGAATTGCTTTGTTATATCTGGCCAAATATGTGTACACGACGAAAAACGTTATCACGTCAAAAAATATACTCATTTTTAAACATCTCTCCAGATTAATTGTACATTGAACACATATTAAATCACGTATGAAGGCATGATACATTCTACTCCTGTACCACCGTTGGTGATGTTTCAGAGAAAACTAGATACGCTGACGACGTGGATCGTTGTTCATGCCAGTTGACAGGAGCGCTTCCTCGTCGTCTAGAAACATTGCATCTACGTTGAGCAAGGGACGTTAACCGTTATCTCTTTGACTTGCAGGTTTACCATTTCGTTTGAGTGAGTGAGTGAGTATGGTTTTACGTCGCTTTTAGCAATATCCCAGCAATCTCACGGCGGGGGACACCAGAAATGAGCCTCACACATTGTACCAATGCCAGGAATCGAACCCGGTTCTTCGGCGTGACGAGCGAACGCTTTAACCACTAGGCTACCCGACCGCCCCCATTTCGTTTGAGATAATCGGAGTCGACTGTGTTATTCAAGTACACATGCACATTTAGAAACCCTGCCAAGCGAAGAAAATTATACAGAATATAGAGGCGTTTATAATTGTAGATTTAAAGTTTCCTTTTATGATTTAAATAAGTGCACATTTGACTCAATAGCTTTTTCAAAACACACCCCAAACATATTTTCAAACATTATATAATTGATATGTTCAAGCAGCTCGGAAAAGGTACTTCAAAGGTTTGCCACTTCAAAAACAACATTAAACCATTACTGCGTGCAACGTTATGCAATCAAACACAACGCTCTACAGGACCCCGGACCGAGGGCAACGTGCACAACACTCGCAATATACACAACACAACACTCGCAACATACACAACACAACACTCGCAACATACACAGTACTCCCAACATGCAAAACACAACACCTGCAACAGACACTGTACTCGCAACATACACAACACAATACTCGCAACAGACACTGTACTCGCAACATGTACAAGAATCTCGCAATATGCACAACAGTTCCGCAATAAGCACAACACTCACGTTTGTTCACCTCCCATGGCTCCCAGAATTCAGCTCTTCGCTTAGACACGTGAACCACGATTCGTGCAGTGGGTAGTCTGTTTGTGGTAAAGGTTGCACAACCCGTGAGAAGAATCACAACAAGGCTCACCAGCCGAACACAGCTGACATCCCTTGAAGACGCCATGTCTCTCTAGATGATGTTTCAGTGGGTGTTTGCGAGTAAAAATATCAGTATCCCACTACTCTCGCTCAGTTCCAGCATCTAACAACACATTCTGGCTACTGTTCAGGTATGATGATGCTTCCCATCACATCAATGAGGAGTTTGAATACTTGGAAAATGTGGCGTTAAATTCTACAGGGGCTAATTTCCATAGGAATGTAGCACACGTCTTTAAAAACAACGACTATGAAGCGTACCCTCCAATCTGACGTCGTTATATTCACCCCGCCTTCACGTTCAATTCCTTGACAGCATACCTCTCAAATTAAACCAACACCCTCCAATAGCTCGATTCACGGTTTCAGAACATCCACAGCATACCATCTTCTATATGTACTCCTCGCCTATGTGTAGTACTGTATTCTATCCATCACATTATTGTCTTGTAAAGCTCCCTAGTATTAACTCCAACCAGCGGAGAGCGTATCGTTGACAACATCTTGGCTAGAAAACTCTCGCCAGATTTTCCCAATGACTGGCTTTCTGGGTGCAGCAACTATCACTATGACACTCACCTGTGCTCCAGTAAACACACACCATAGCGTATTGAGATGAAACTACCTTCTACACAGGCCCAGTGTATGGATGACAGCACCCATCTGACTGACTAGATAGGTAGATCATAGATGTTGATTGTTGATGTAATGTAAATATATTATCCAGGTAAAGTTCCTTCGTTCTTAAAGAACACCCTTGATTACTTGATCTTGTTGCTGATGGTGGATGGATGAACGAGATCCGTCTCGTTTAGAGGTCTGTGTTACACTACCTTCCGTATAGGCCGCGACATGCACAGAGATCTTCCCACAACGTGTTCAATGGCTGTGTTTATATATCCCCGCGCTGTTCCATTCATAGCTTCTGAAATCCCAGTTAGTGTAGGTGGTTCCTGGCTCGTTCGATTGGAGACGCGAGTCGGGGGTTAATTAATCATGTTTAAGTTGGTGAGTTGTATTACTCGTTACTCATACTTGAAAAACGTGTAGGTATGTGTGTTAGTCGTGAGACACAATCCATATACAATGTACATCAAGGTTCAGGAACACTGTTAAGGAAATTGAATTTTATAGCTGACGTTTATTGTACAAAGGCTGTATAATTATTCACAGGGGCTTGTAACGCTAAAATTAGACTAACATTTAGTCTCTGAAATCTTTTATTACACAATATCCTTCTTGACTCTAAAAATAAGAAAAAAATCCCTATGCTGATTTGAGGAATAGAGCTAGCTTGAGCTGGCTAGACTTGCTTTTGTTTGCATTTCTAGATTATTTATTTTCATAAAATAAATATATTCCACGGTCATGGTGCAGGACTACGCGAAAATTAGCAGCAATATATATACGATTACTAACGGGGTCATAGTACTACATAAAAGGATCCCTTTTTGAAACCGTTTATATCTTGCTGGTATATTTTGCTTTACAAGCTCCTGTGTTAGTATTGAGGCTGGGTTCGAACCTAATTATAGATTCTGCTTAGTTACATGATTAATATGTTATCTTATGATAAACATGTTTTTAAAATTGTTTTAATGACACGTGGGTATATATTATTATAGAATTAGTTTAAAAATCGTTGATACGCACATGCTGTATTTCCTGCCTGTAAGTTAACCATGGTATCGTATCAACTACCCGAATAAGTTACAATGTCGACTGTCACGGCAATAACAGTAATATGACGTCACTCTCAAGTTAGTATTAGATTGACGTCACTGGCGATAATCGGTCATATTGTTTTTTTCCCGTGGACACAGGTAGGTCACAGGCCGAACATTCCTCGAAGGTAACTGACCGACAGCATCACTTGCTGGACATATTTAAATCATTCACCTAGTTCACTGGCATAGTGGTTGAACATGCTGTTGCCGTAAAGCGAACAAGACGGATCGAGTTTCAACTTTTAATGATGTAATATGGCCATGCTGAGGCGGAACGAGTTCAGGGTGTGTGGGTAGCTGTGGGTGGGGGTGGGTAGGAGTGGGTGGGGAGGTGTGAATTGGGGTGGATGGGTCCAGGGAGTCCTTTTGTATAAAGTATTATACATCTGTCAAAATAGTATATGGAATTTAAACCTTAAATTTGCTTGTTGTTTTTTTGTTTACGCCGCACTCCGCAATGTTCTAGCTATATATAACGGCGGATATATAACGGCGGTCTGTAAATAAACGAGTCACGACCAGACAGTCCGGTGACTGACACCCTGAGCATTGATTCACGCATAGTTTGGTTGGTTGGTTGGTTTGTTGTTTTACGCCGCACTCAGCAATATTCCAGCTATATGACGGCGGTCTGTAAATAATCGAGTCTGGACCAGACAATCCAGTGATTGATATCATGAGCATCGAACCACACAATTGGGATCGATGACATGCATCAACCAAGTCAGCAAGCCTGACCACCCGATCCCGTTAGTCGCCTTTAACGACAAACCGAGTCGCCTTTTACGGCCAGAATGGGTTGCTGAAGACCTATTCTACCCCGGAATCTTCACGGGTCTCCACGCATAGGATACAATGACGTGTTAAACCAGGGTACCGAGCTTGAGCACCCGGCCCATTTAATCGCCAAGGTTACTTTGGGACCTACATTAACCCGAAGAATGTATATTTTACGCAGTCAGCAATATTCCAGCTATTATTTTAACAAGACCTGGGCCCCGCCTAACAAAGCGATCGTAGCGCTTCGACAGTCGTAAGTATGTTACAGCATGGGAGTTACGATAGTCTTAGCGCTACGATCGCTTTGAGGAACAGGGCCCTGGCCAGCTGGACAAAAGGCTGATAGCATGAACAAATATCCACGACATCGGGAACTGCAATCAACCATGTCACCATATTCTCATTAGTCGGGTCTTTCGCGAAGCTGAACTTATTGTGGACTGATTCTGGCCCGAAATCCACAAAGGAAACATACATCAATACAGGAGAGCAGATAGACTGATAGATTGAAAGATGTCGATAGATAGACAGTTAAAGGGAGGAGGCAAGGAGGACTACCAATTGAATAGTGTGTGCGGGCAATATGTATTACCAGATTGTATATGTCGTAACACAGTTAAAGAATCCCACCTGTTTGTCTTCCAATTTCAAATATATCAAGACTAGTTGACAAAAGGCTCGCAGAGGATATATTTACTTTTATGGACGAGCTTCATATATTTGAGCTTGAGCGCCACTTTCCCGAGGCAAGGGAGTTAAATGACTATAAAAGTCCAGCTTTTGCCCTTGCCGAACAAGGCTGGATGGAAATCTAGAGTCGATTTTGGCTGGACTATCGAGTCTATTTATAGTCCAATCCAATATAAACAGCAGGCCGAATGCCGTGGAGATTTCGTTCGATTGCAGGATTTGCATAGCATGGGTAGCGTCAACTGGGCTTCGACAGATAAATTCCATTATTTTTATGTTTTAATCAAGGAGAGGTAGGACCCGTTATATTTCACTATAGATCTTGATTATCGATGAGATCGTCTTGACTGGGCGCCGCCATTTAGTTTGAAGCAAATGCAAACGATATGAAGGGTGGAATCTGATTGGTCAGAAGCAGGGACATAGAAGGGACATAACTCGTTATAGCCTTTGGGGTGCTACGATCGAGTTACGAAATTCCAGCCAAGTTCAGGAAGGGTTGAAACTGGACTTTTAAAGCCAGTTAACTCCCTTGCCTTGGGAGTGAATGAGTATGGTTTTACGCCGTGTTTAGCAATATTCCAGCAATATCACGGCAGGGGCACGGCAGTCGAACCTGGTTCTTCGGCGTGACGAGCGAACGCTTTAACAACTAGGCTACCCGACCGCCCCATTGCCTTGGAAAGATGCCAGAGTAAGCGTCTATATATTACCCAAAATGATTCTTCCGCCTTTTTCAGTTTTTTAATAGTAATTACGAATGTTTTGAGTGTAAATAGTACAGATAACCAGATTCAGTGGCAGAAACATTAGTGATGTCATGTGATCGTGACGTCATAACCCATGACGTCACAATGGTCTCAAAGCATAGACATAGACATGTTTCGTGGAAGCCAGTTTGGAACGATACAGACACATGAAACCTTTAAACGCTGCAAACCTCCGTCTAGGAACGCAAACATTGACCCTCCCTGACCCCGTGTCAACAGTTGCGTGAACTCCCGGCATTCCCGCAATTATAGCTGCCACCTGTTCTAAATGTTAACAGTCTGGGAGTGGACGGGGACGCTGCTTCAGAGTGGGGTCATAGGTGCAGCTGGTCGCCCCTGGAATGTAAAGTGACGTTTTATTGCTGCTTGGAATGACGAAGTACTGTATGGCAGGCTGATAAGTGTTTCAAAATTACATTGAATGGTAAATAATTACATAATCGTTAAAATCAAAATATGATATGATCGCAAATTTGGTAAACCATCGTATTATGGTAATTATTAATTAAAGAGTGGAATTTGTGTTTCACGATGGACATGTTAGAAGAGCCACTTCTCACGATGGTATGGTGTGAACATGTTTTAAAGGGCCTTGGGTAGCTTGATGGTTAAGTGTTGATTCGTCACACGAAGACCTAGGTTCGAATCCTCATTGGTACAATGTGTGAAGCCACTTCTTGGTGTCTCCCGCTATGGTATGGCTAGAACATTACTAAAACCAGAAAGCCGTTTAAACCGATACTGACTCCCACTGCTAACATGCTGATAAGTCTGTGAACAAGTCATCACGATTTGTTAAAAGCCCCGTCATCTAGGTTTATGTTGACGACGTCAGCACTGAAGTCCAGTCATAATTAATGAATCCGGACAACCCAATTATTATTTCACAAAATCAATCTTCAGTGTGTCCTGGTTGTCTAAAAAAAACAAGCTTTGGGAAATCAGTTTTTGAGGGTCTCAAAAAAGGTCCCTAAGCTTTGTTTTCAGCAAACTATACGAAAGCAGTTGTGGGAAGATAGTACCGTTGCCAAGTAAACAAACAGCCGTCAACTGTTAAATTCAAGATGGCCGACCTTGACTATACGATATGATTAATAAAAATATTTTGTATCTTATCAAAGTAGGATTCCTAAGAAATGAAAATACAGACTAGAATGAAGACTCCAAACAATATTTTTACATGATCTATGTAGCCATGACAAATGCATTCCTGCTGAAATTTGTCTGAAAAAACAACAACAGACCCTACCCCCAGAACCATCCAAATAAAACATATTTCCCCGACCTTTATTTTCTTTGGGTTTTTATGGCGACCAAGAACACCCTTCTGGTGAGTGTAAACACAAATGTGTCCTGTTATCAGAAATGTCCGGGTCTACAGCAATTTCTACTGGACTACAGGGTCAATCCAGCGTTACTAATGTAGTTTTAGTGTACAACTCTGGGATGAATTATACATAGCGTTTTCACTGAACACTCCCAGGGCCAGAGGAGTGTAGCAGGGCTAGGGGAGAGTAGCAGGGCCAGGGGTGTGGAGATACAGCGCCCCACACGGAGAATGCCCACGTCACCTCACCAGGCCACGCGTCACAGCCAACATAATTACTCGTACTCCTAAACTCTTTGTCAAATCCAACGTTAATGCGAGTCAAGAGGATACTTGTCGTGTTGCTAGATCAGCATTGTAGTATAGAGACAGAGACATTTTACGATGACAAACAATCGAGAATTTGATGGATATATCGAATGAGGGAGTGAGTGAGGTTAATACGCCGCTTAGCTAATCTTGTAATATCTCGACACCAAGGATGGCCTACACACGTTGTGGGGGTGTGACGAGATGGTGTTTTAAAGATAGTCATCGAATCATGCTTAACGACTGGAAGACATACGTAACACGTGGCCTAAATACGTCACAATGGAAATTCCTTTCGGTAGACGTCATTGGTACAATATCGGGATTAAACTTATTTCGTGAATACAATACAAACAAATTATTAAAATAAA